TGGAAAGAGGAACACAGTCTCCTGTGTTGCTGACCAGCTATTTTCCTGCCTCCAGACCTCACTTTCCTAGTTTACACAATAATCTAGTTCTTTTTTTTCCTCAAAAGACCTTTTCAAATCTGGCTTTTGAGAATGTAATGGATACCAAAGCTCAGCTCTCCGGGAACAAGGACATCCTCAAACATATCTTTTGAATGAAAATTAAGTGACTGCCTTGGGAAAGGAACACTGGGGAAGAGTGGGGTACCTTGCCACACTCAGAGGAAAGTGCAAAAACAGAGCTTCATGCTTTAAGGAAAAAGAACAAGAAAAGGGAACCAGAGATTGATAATAGGGGAGTATAACGAGGTGGCAATTTTGGTTTCAAAAGAATGTGATTAGCTCCTAATGACTGCCACCATTCCCTGGTCAATCTACTGTAACTAGCCACTAATGTAAAAATAATGCCCCTGGCTCCTTCACTTTGAAGACGAGATGAGTCTCCCTTTCATGCTCTTACCCCTCAGATTTGTTTTCTTGAAGAGATTATCCTCTATTAGACTGCAGCTGCCTAAAAGGGGAAACATATGGGTGATCAAAGTCTGCCAATTAGGGGGCCATTACCACCTCCTCTCAGTGGCTCTATTAGGCACACCTTCCATATTTGTCAACATCATCACAAACCTATACCCACCCAATAACCCATCCCTGGTTTCTTTAAGCCTCACTAGGGGGAGACAGTGGTCCTGGGGCTATAGTTGATACCTATGTGTATTCCTATGGGGACGTAGCCCTCAATCATTATAACTGTTATGTTGGGTGTAAGATTTCCCTGGGATAGGTTTGCCTTGGCTTGTCCCCAAGGCCATGGCTTTGATAAGCAGCCATTAAGAAATCTAGGAATGGAAAGATTGGCCTTCATTGGATATTTGCAGTGTTACAACACAAAGGATCTGTGATTATTCTACTCCCATGAGGCAGGCAAAGGCAAAGCACAAGGCCAGAGTAAGGAGAAATCTAGCCAACAATGTTGCTCAAAAGACAGGCAGGAATATCTGGGAGAATGAGCAGTCTGTCACTAAGGGTGTGTCAGTGATTGATATGAGTCAGCTGATCAGCTTCCTGAAAGCCACAGCAGGCAGGACAGTTTTCAAGGTCACTGATGACTCTGCAATTCAAAGATCTTTGTCATCCACAGGTACCAAAGCCACTTCATTTATTAGTCATTTCATTCATTCCAAGCTTGTCATTCCAACAGTATGAAATACAGTCCTAGAAGTGGGATCTGGGAAAGGAATTACAAATGAGATCCTTTCCCCAAAGAAGGCCATAGCCAAGTTGGAAGGTAGGCTTTTAGATTATTAGATGTAGAGATGTCCCTGTGATAATATATATAAGTGACTGACTCTAGCTGAGAATTCAGTAAGGAAGAATGAGCACAAAGACTACACATGGGAGAAGAAGCTTGGATGGGTTTTGAAAGATACTTAGAGCTTTTACAGGAAGCCTTGAGTGGAAGAGAATTTCAAGTAGAAAGAACACATGTAAAGTCTCAGAAATCTAAAGGACTTTGTACATGGCAAGAAGTAAGGCTGAAAGAACATTTGAGGTGAAGTCATAAAGGGCCTGTTATGAATTTGAAATGTATTCAATAAGTTCCAATAAAAGGAGAAGTAGCTGGGTCTTGTTCACAGTTTATAAAGATCACTCTGATTGCAATGGAGAATGAATTGGAGGAAATAAACCAAAGTCAAGAAGGAGATCCAAAGGTAAATTATCTCTGCTGGTAAATTTACCATTTTCACAGTTAAACCCAATGGGAGCTTTGATCATTGCCTATCTCCACATTTTATCACAGTGACCTATTTGGTCTGGAATAAGACCTTAAGCTAACTGAAACCTAAATTCTGACACACAGCAGATACTAAACATATTTTTCCATAAGATTCATATGAAAATATTCTGCCCTGCCACCATGTTGGAATGAACAGTTGACTTTATTCACAGAGAATTTCAAGTGAAAAATCTGCCCCACAAAGATCAAACCAAATATCATGAAAGACAAAGCTGTCACTAAGACCCTGATACACAGCAATACACCTGGCAGGTTGCCAGACAGAAGTTGGGCTGCCTGGTCAGGAGGTAGGATAAAGTTAGAATCTGAGTTAGGCACAGGAGCAAGAAACATGGGCAGTCTAAAGATGGTTACTGGAATGCTTGGCACCCAGAGGCCAGGATTTGCTTTGTTTCCACTCTGAAATGTCTACCTAAGGGTTTGAGGCACACAATAATAACATTCTGAGCCAATAATAGGTGAAAAGACACCTCAGAGCTAAATAAAAGAGCATGGTTTAGCCAGGAAACCCAGGCAAAGCCCTGATATTTGTACCTTTTAGTGGCTATGGAATGATAGAAAGAATGTACATGATTTCTACATATCCAACCACTGCATAGATGAAGCCCATGATCATGCTAGAAAAAAAAAAACAGGGTCATCAAGCTGTAGTCACAAGCTAAATGCACATTTACAAACATCTATGTTTGTAAATAAAAATTTATTGGAACACAGACATGTCTATGCATTTGTCTGAGTTGGTTTTACTCTACAACCAGAGAACTGGGTGGGATTCAAATTTGTATCCAGATTTTCACAGGTAAGTCTTGAAAATAACCTTTGCTATGTGAGAGCCGCCAAAGCTGGTGAAGTATATGAGACTAGAAGTAAAAACGGGTTCACTGTGCACAAACACTACTTTTTGTTACACAGTGGCCATGTCTGCCTCTGAGACCATGACCTGCTGAGAGACTGAATTTCTGGCCAATTGGTGTGGACTTCCTCTTGCTTAGGGTAGACCTAATAAGGAATAGACAGGAAGGTGAAGAGTGATGTGTTAAGATGAACAGATGTCTTCTCCTCTGCCGTGCAGATCAGAAGATGCAAATTTGGCATTGTTAGTAATGGAAGCACCATGGACAGGATATTCAGCCTGTCCTTCTGTAGGGAATGATAGGGACAGTCATCATAACAGGGCTTGTTCTGCATGCTGCTGCAGGCTTGCTAAAGCTGTTCCCACTCCATGAATGCTCATTTTTCTCCTCTGTGATGGGACTGACTCCATCTTCCTTTTAGACCAGTTGGCACTGGTCTAAATTCTTGCAAACCATCCACATGAGTGTTGGGTGTCACTTACATAGTTGCCACCCTCTTAAACTGATTGCTGACCTCTGTCCCTACCCTCCCTTTAAGCTCTGAAGCTTCTCATTAAACATCCTGATCAACAGCTCAGTTTTGATGTCTTACAGACATCTCAAACTTGGGTGCCATTATTACTATTACCATTTTTACTAATTTCAACGTATTAAAATATACACAGTACCCACTGGTGGGCACTCTTCTAAGTATATTATGTACCCCAAAATGCAATGCCTAATTCCCATGCAATCAATCACATTTCTCCCTCAGTGTACTCCATTTCAGTAAATAATATTTATCTGGTTCTTCAAACCATTGACCTAGAAGCACACATTCATGCTTCTTTCTTTCATACTGCCTGTCTGAAGTCCTTGGGTTAGCGCCCTGTACAAATCCGCACACTCATTGTTCTCATACATATCAACCTGACAGCTTCCTCTAGTAAACATCTGTGTTGTTACCCGAGGCCTTCCTCAAAACTAAAGAATACCCACAGTACCTATAGAGCATGGCATAAACATGAGGGTTTCTAATGGTATTCACCAGCAGTAGCAGAAGGGAAGCAATGGATAAGCATTTCCAATTCTCTCCTTCCCTTCTCATGCAAGAGTCCTGAACATGAATTATTAAGCTCCAGTTTTGCATCTCACTCCCCCATTCTCCTGCTCATTCTCTTTGATTGCCTTCAAATCCAACCACTTGTACTCAAAGCTTTATCTCTGGTACTGCTTCCGAAGCAAACTAAGTGAACAACCACTGAATAATTGGGGGTTTTTTTCATGGTCACTACTACTACCTGTTCCAACAGTTCAAGCACAATCATAGGGCATGATTGCAGTAAATTCATAATCAATTACCTTGCTTCTTCTCTGGCCTTCCTGTAGCCTGTATTCTACACAGGAACATGAATGCTCTTTGTATAGTATATGATGTCACCTCCTTGCTCAGAACCCTCCAAAGGTTCCCTACCACACTTAGAACAGAATTCTGTATTAACCAGGAACTAAAATGCATGCAATCAATCCCATGCAATCAATCATGGATTCTCAAATCCTCTCTAGAAGTTTCCAGTCATTAGTTTGCTCCACCCCCAAAATCCTACCATACTCTCATCTATAAACATAATCATGTGGCACTCTCTGACCTTTGCACCTGTTCCTTTTGCCTGGAAAGTACTTCCTCATTTTCTCAATGTGACTAGCTTCTTCACCCCATCAATGAATAAATTTGCATGTGAGTTTTTCACAGAAAACTTCCTAAACTGTTATCATGCTCATTATATAAAACTGGGCTTGCGGGGCTGTAGAGATGGCTCAAGGTTAAGAGCACTGGATGCTCTTCCATAGGTCCTGAGTTCAATTCCCAGCAACCACATGGTGGCTCACAACCATCTGTAATGAAGTCTGGTGCCCTCTTCATCCAGACAGAACATTGTATACATAATAAATAAACAAAAATCTTAAAACAAAACTGGGCTTGCTTTGTCCTTTGCTACATTTCCTAATCCATTGGATATCTAGAAAAATTTCCAAAACACATTGGGGAATCAATGAGTACCTGCTGGGTATAAGAGTGAATGAATGAATGAATGAATGAATGAATGACTCTCTACTGGGCTACATTGTAAGCTCATAATAGAAAGACAATATAACAATATTTGTGCCAATGAACAAGCAAAGTAAGATCATGGGAGGCACCATTACAGACGCATAGCCCTTTATACTGAGTCCCCATCACATTGAATGCTCATTTCCTTTTGTTGGTTCATCTATTCTTGAGGAGAGTTGCCATCTCAGACTATGCTAACCAATCTGCCTTTGCCTTGTAGGCCTTGCCAGAGGGACAGACAGCTTCGTGGGACACAGCCAAGGAAGACGAAAACCGCAATAAGAATCGATATGGGAACATCATATCCTGTAGGTGTCCTAGGAGGTTCTATCTGTTAGATTTGGGGAAATGTGTGAGAAAAAAAAAACAGTTCTCTTTTCCTGGAATTGGATGTAAAATAACCCTTAGGTTTCCAGCTTTGTGTTAGTGGATTATTGCAATGACCCCAGGAAGGGACGGTTAGTCCAAATCAAGTCAGGAACAT